GTGTGTGTGTGTGTGTGTGTGTGTGTGTGTGTGTGTGTGTGTGTGTGGCAGCACTCTCCAGACACTCAAAGGTAGCAGACAGCCTGAAAGCACAATGAACCCTGGGATTCCACCTCGGCTGGACTCTGAAGGGTCACCTGTGAAGGGAGGGAGAGTCGGGGGAGGAAGGAGTGATACATAAACATGGAGAGAGAGGGACAGAGAAGGAGGGAGGGCGTGTTAGATGTATAAATACGTTGGAGCTGATCTTGAAAAACATGCCCCTCCCATCACACAGAGCTTCTTCTGTCGGCATGACCTAACGTCTTGAAGCGAACTGCACCTCAGGATGCTCCTACTGTATCTTTGTTTCACTTTCCACTTGGTGAGTTATAACAAGAAGGCATCATTCACAGTTGTAAAAGCTCCGTAAATCATGGTGCTTTGACACATACACACACAGTGTCTGGATCATGCAACTCATTACAGTGAAAAATCCATCATTTGTGTCCTTGTGTGATTGGCAGTGTGTGTTTGCGGGTATGCGTGTGTGCATGTGTTTGTAAAGCTCCAGTATCTGGGCATATGATGTGTTAATGTGTGTGACCTTATGAGCATGTGCTGCGCTCCTGTGCCTTAAATCATGGCAAGCAAACACTACTACCGACATGCATCACTCTCTGGCATTTGCAGTATAGAAATTCTGGGTGAGAGTTTGAATCAGGCTTATGCAGGGGCAGCAGTTTTAAGAGTTCAAATTGAGGTTTTTATTGAATAGGTTCATTTCACATATAAAAACATTCTTATCACCCAGAAGGATTGGTTATGTAAAGGTTTCTATGTAAATAGAAACAGAATCCTTTATTTATAATGTGTGCCGCCATGTGACGGTGCCTCAACACACTGACTTGACAGCAGCTGCACGTTTTCTCCTCTTTGGTAAAGGTGAGGTTTTTTTTGGAGGATTCAATTTACCTAAAACTGAAGAGATCCTAAGTTCTCTCTGCGTTAAATTTCTCCCAGAATTCCTATAGTTGAAGGCTGTTCTCCAATAAGCAAGAGGCACTTGTTTTTCCACCATGACAACCACATACTCTTTACCTTAAAACACGAGCTAGAGGGATAGAAAGAGGAGGCTTGGGTGGAGACAGGCTGAGAAAGAATTTGACAGAGAAAGGGGGAACAAGAAGGAGGAGGAGGTAGATAGTGAAGGGGAGAGGGAGGAAACACCACAAAAGCAGTGATAGGAGATGTAAAAGAGACCAATAAAGAGAAATGAAGGAGCAAAAAACTAAGGTGCCACATTAAACAGTTTAACAAATCAGAATCCAGGATTAAAACTCAGCCTATCACAGTACAGCTCAACAAAATGCATGCTCACCCAAAAATAGTGTGCTGTAGTCATTACACTTACGAAGGCTTGTCTGGTCTTCTCTCCTCTAAACTGTAACGGCCCATGTTGAGGACCAGTTTGTAGCCATATTTAACTCTGTGTGTACATTATAATCATTTCATCTTGTCCAACATGGCTGGCCATTTTATATGTTGCATAAAATCATGAAATGTTAATTTTCCATCAACAATTTAAAAATATTGTGGAGTAAACTGAAGTTCTGCTCTGTATTTCTTCACCAGTCCACTATGAAAACCTCTGGAAAACCTCTCTATACAGACACCAATACAACAAGGTTTATGCACTTCTGTATTACACACTAACAGTGTAACACAGACACATATGTACACACAGATGCCCACGCTCACTACTGTACCCAAACAATTTGTTCAAATAAAAATGACACCAAACATAACACTACAGAAACTGATCAAAAACAAAGCTGCGGAAAAATAACGGCCATTGCTAGTAGAATTTATCAGATTACTATGCAGTGATTAAGTGAATCAAATATCCAATCCAATCAATTGATTCTGAGGACGGTCCTGGCTATTGACAGTTATTGATCAGTATGTGCACAGGTCAATACAAAATAAAGTCACAATGCACCAAACACAGTCTGTGGTCACTACAGCAACAGGACATGCAAGTCAACGCATGGCTGGTTGCTCGAGGTGACAGAACAAAAATTGCCAAAGGCAACCATCACAGGCAATCAATCGCCACAGCAACCCAAACACAAGCCAACCAATCAACTTACAACAATGCGAGAGGAAGGGGGGATCAGGGCTTTATCGGTCACTAGGCAACCATTGCCATAGCGATGGGGTCCTCGTGAATTATGATTGGACGGAAGGGTCTTGGGTGAGGTAAGTTGCCGTTTCAGGAAAAGATCAAAACAGCAGGAAAGAAAATAAATAAGATTGTGAAAGAAAATAAAAAGGAAAACAATACTTTAGTATTATCACTTTTTGATTAAGCTGTTTTTAAATGAGTAACCCAATGTTTATTCACTCATATATCATGGCAAGCTTCTCCTCTTAACTTTTTCACAATCAGTTAACATTTAAGTCTCAAAGCTTAAGTTACCGTCTTGTAGTTTTTTTTCCACACTAATCTAATTTCATTATCCTGCTCCCCCAGCATACAGCACCCCACTTCCCTTGATGTGGTGTCTCTTATCACCTCACCTCTCTTTATTTCTTCTTCCTCCTCCCGGTTGTCACTCAGTATGGCCGGTTGGCATCTTTGGGCCTTTTGAGCTGCACTTTCAGTCTTTTCATGCCGATCTGGAAACCGTTCATGGCCTGGATGGCAGCCTGAGCGCTGGCTGGGTTATCAAAACTGACAAATCCTGGACAAGAGAGAAAAAAAATTATTACTTTACCTGAGTTCTTTCCTCCACAAAGTCAGACTCTGACTTTTTTCATTTGTCCTTTCCTCTCCCCACTACATCTGCTCTTCAATTCCCCTCCCCTCTTTCTCCCCCATCTGTGTTTCTCACCGAAGCATTTGCTCTGGTTGGTGGCACGGTCCACAAACACCTTAGCCGAGATGACGTTGCCAAAGGGCAGAAACATCTGCAGCATCTCAGAGTCACTGAACTCCTGGGGCAGGTGGTAGATGAAGATGTTACACCCCTCTGGACCTGACACAAACACAAACACAAACACACACACACACACACACACACACAGACGCAAGCGCACACACACACACGAACACACACGCGAACACACACACACACATTAGGCAGAGTGTTTTAAATGACCTCTGGCTGTGAAATCCTTGTGATAAACAACTTTAAATTGAATAGAGGAGTGTGGCCCCTGTCAGACAGGAAGTCACATCACCTTCTCGCTGCTGCTGTTGCTGGGGTTGCTGGTGTTGCTGGGCAACCAGTGTTGGCTGCTGGGGGAACGGCTGCCCAACCAATCCGTAGGCAGCAGGGTATGCCGCTATTGGGAGAGACAAGACAGTAACAAAATCTGATTGGGTAAAAACAACAGGTGGCAACATGGCTTCGTCCAATAGAGTCACTTCATTTGAACTGAAATGTCTCCTGCTGAAGGTGAAAACTATTAACTGGAACAGCTGAATGGAGCAAGTCTGCTAAACAATGACACCATTGATCTCTGTCTGGTTTCCCCACTTTACAGTCTCCTCTTAACTAAATGAATTTAAATCATGTGATGTCAAATGGCATAAAGGTATGACAGGCTATATTAATCATTACCAGCCATCAATATGTATCTTGTGTTACAGTTAAATCAAGTAAATCATAGCAAAATGAATGTACTCAATTGTCCTTTAAAATGTCTCTCCTTAGCCCGATGGCGGTCAAACTAAAAGCAGACATGTTGACTTTTGTAATAACGTGGTTAAACGTGTGTCGTTACAGAAAAACACTGATTTTTCAAAGCTTCCTCCATGAACTAACATTGGGATCTTTTAAATGTATTTTCCATTTATCCATAAACCATCCCCACATGTATATTTGGGACAGTCCACAGTGAGAAGATTTCCATTCAGTGACTGACCCTCATCTGACCATCTTTATAACCGGTCTGTAGACTTTTATCTCATTTGGTCATTTGCCCACTAGTACATATAGTGAGCATTTGTCTGATCATGTTGAATTACCTGAGCACTCGAGCTGCTGCATTCACAGCTAAAAAAAAAAGCAGCACTTTTTGTTTGTGTGCCTCATGAGCCTGTCTGCTGATCAAGTAAAGTGCTTTTAACCTTATAGGTTTCTGTTATAAGTGAATCTGCTGTTTGCTTTAAAGGCTTTGCTCTATTGTTCAAAATGTACAGTTAGCTTCAAACATTAATATGGTTAAAGAATCCAAACCAAAATGAAATGCTGTCAATGCTGAAATCTGTCTATAAACCAACCTGTATAGTGCTGCATACCAGCGTATGCCTGCTGTAAAGGGTCCAATGCTGCTGGACTCTGAGCTGGAGAGTGAGAAAATGAAATTAAACCAGTGGGAAAAAATACAAATAAAGTGATAATAAATCCAAATATTCAACACGTCTACATGTATACTCGAATACCTTGATATGGGTGAACGCCGTTGGTGTATAGTGTTTCTGTTGCTTGTTGTCCATTAGTTGGGGCTTGCACACTGCTGTAACCATTCACTCCTAATGGTGGAGGGAGAGCCGACACAGGTGTTGCTGCAATAGTTGGTGGAGTGTTTGTACCTACAGGCATAGTACACACCCCAGACATTCATCTATCACTAAACCTCATAAGGGAAGACACCTGTTTATAAGGCATCAAAACCCTTAATGCATCATTAGTGCAATTATCTTAAAAAATACTGTAAAAAATAAAGTGCAATGTTTCTGATGACTTAAATTTGGGCGAAGCAAAGCCTCTACAGGAAAAGCTGCTGGCCTTAATAAAAATACACATAATACTTGCGATAATACTTGCGTGCTATAATTAAGGGGACAATTACAAGACACTCTGTTCTACACAATACAGCACCTCTGTGTGTATCTGACCATAAAATTCAAGTGTGTATGTTTGTGAGAGTGAGCGAGACACCCTACCCGAGGATGGTGTGATGGGTGTAATGGGTGTGGCGATGATTCCGTTGGCATTGAGCGCCGCCATCTGCTGCATCTGTACGGCGGCAACTGTTGCCACAGGAGACAAGTATGCTGACTGGGCAACCAGGGCCTGCTGTTGGACAAGCTGTAGACAGAGAAGGGAACAGAAAGAGAGTAAGGAAATAGGTAAAATGAACAAGGAGGAAGGAGAGAGAGAGGGGGGAAAAAGGGAGTGAGGGAGAGCGAACAGAGACAGTTAAATGGGAAAAGGAGAGAGAAACAGAAAAAAGAGGGGAGAAAAAGGGAGAGGAAGAGACATGGAGAGGGCGTGATGCAGGAGCAGATGAATAGAGATCTAATTACAAGGCCATTATGTCCTAAGTCACTAGGTTAATGGTTGCGTGTTGCGGGAAAGCTAATGCCAGATGACGTATGTTCTGTTGTCTGGGTAATAACATTAGCCCCAATTAGACCACTGATAGCCTCTTCAAACTTATTACATCCTTTCATAAGCACAGCACTCCCCTCAAAAACTTGGTGTGTGTGAGTGGTACAGTAAGTGTTTGTGTGTGCGAGGACTGCTTGCCTGTGCGTTGACCGCCTGTGTGTAGGCATTGTAGGCGGGGTAATTGAGGGTCATGGGGCTGAAGATGCCGAGCTGGGAGGCCACCTGCTGCATCCTCCTCAGCCCCCGCTCCTTCTCCGTGTCAGCGAACTTCACCACCAGACTGGAAGATGCTCCCTGTGGGGAGAGAGATGGAGAGAGACATAAGATTCAACTGCAATTACAAGTAATGTAATGCGTTATATTCTCTGTGTGCTAAAAGGGGCTCCGTATTTATTAAAGTTAACTCTCCATTTAATCCTTATATGAGTCACATGGGGTTTAGGCCTACCCCAGCATATAGAGGAAGCCCAGGACAGGAACAAAGCAGAGTTAAGCCTACATTACATTATTAAATGTAAACTCTCCCACCAGGCACACAGATGTCTTCGGAAGATCATTATGAGGTGTGTTCTTGCCTTGTCTGTGACTATGCTTTATTTGTCTGTTTTTAATAATTTATGTTCATATGCATACAACTTACTGGCATTGTGCGGCTTCCATGCAAGCTGTTGATGGCAGCCTGGGCTTCAGTGTGTCCTTGGAATTTTACAAAAGCACACCCTGCAACAAAACACACAGACTACATGAAATCACCAGTACTAATAAATGAAATGTAGTAGCTTGTGTATATATTTTGTGTGTGTGTGTGTGTGCTACCTTTGCTGGTGCCGTCGGGCCCTCTCAACACAGTACACTCGTCTATGCTGCCGAAAGGCTCAAACAGCCTTCTGACATCCTCGTCGCTTTGTTGCTTTCCCAGCATGCCCACAAATAACTTCCTGTCCTCTGAGAGACCAACGGCACGTAAAAGGAAAAGATAGAAATGTTAATACCCTTAAATTGGTCACAGCTCTAATGATAAGCCTGTAAAAAATAGAATTAATAAAAAGCTATCTGTCTATGGAGGCTACAATTTTTTCTCCACCAGGGAGCAGTATTGACTGCAGAGAAGGGTGTTAAGGGAGGGGAGGGGAAATCTGTGTCTGTGTGTAGAAGTGTGTTTATATTACCCTCCAAGAACCCCACTGAGTATTCTCCATCTAACTCTGATCCATACTGACACCTACCCTTCTCTCCGTCACAGTGTGTGTGTGTGTCTCACCTCCTCTGCCCTCGCTGTCAGCTGGTTTCACCTGGATTGGCCGATTCATCTGAGGAACAAACAAACAGCAACACAGATGGTCACATAAACAAGTCTCCCTTCATATATCTCAACACAGGAAATTTCATCACCAACAGTAAATAATCATGACGTATTCTCATGGTTATAAATACATGGTATCTGACAGTTTTGAGATGTGAAAAGGAAAGTAAAGATACTGATAATTTAACAAATTAAAAGATACCAAATCTCAGTTAAAGAATTACTTCATCACATTTTACTATACAGAGGTTCTTCAACAAAACAGAAAAACTCTAACTACAATGCTAATGAACAGTCATTTTATCGGGACTTGTCTTCCCTATGGGGACAAAAGGAAAGTCTGTACTAGGTTAGGTTTATGTTTACCTTATGTTAGGTTGTGGTTAGGGTGAGAGGGTTAGGCAAGAAGTAACTATGGTTGAGGTAAGCCTCCAGGAAATCATCTTAAGTCTGTGTAATGTTCTCTGAACTCATGGAGATACAACTGTGTGTGTGTGTGTGTGTGTGTGTGTGTGTGTGTGTGTGTCCACATGTTTTTTAGACCCTGATAAATTAAGGTGAGCAGGTGACAGGTGTCCCAGTCTGATGTCTTCTCTGTGTCAAAACACACACAGCCCTTACTATCTTGACTTCTCTCTCTCACTCTCTCTCCCTCACACACACGCAGAATGAAGGGAGGGGGGGGATTGAGAAGTGATGAGATTAAGAATGCAGGCCAGCTGATCTGGATTACAGAAGAACTAAGGATTAGATGAGGGACAAGAGTAGGCTGAGATAGAGAGGAGGGGGGGCACGGAGAGAGAGATTGTAGTGGGATGGGATGACAAGAGTGTGAAGGGAACAGGAGCAGTCAGCTAAAAATAAAGGGATGGAGAACGTGAGACAGAGAAAGAGAGTGAGAGGCCTGGGGGACCCCGACTGACTTCGACCGACTAAAAGGGCAGGTGGATGGCCAAGAGGAACCCGGGGAGTGAATGAAATTGCTGGAAAAAGAAGCATTACACGAGAGAGGAGAGAGAGGGAGACAGTGACTGAGTGGGGGGATGAAAGCAGAGCTGCCTCTGAGAGGATGATTCAAAAAGAATAGAAAGAAAAAGGAGGAGGAGGGAGGAGTGGGGCGTGATTCAGTCGTGACTTGCTCTGACTCAAAAATGTCACGACTACAGAGATCCATGGCCTGGAGTGTTAATGCATGCATGCACGCAGATATTCTGAATACTGTCTACACATATACACAGGTTTGTCTCACAAACATACACAAAAACATACTACACACAGTGCTTAGTCATCGAGGCAATAAGATAAAGTGTTAATGCCAAAGGGAAGTGGTGGGGGAGGAGAAAGGCTGCAGAATAATGGTGATGAAAAGCGGGAAGGAAGGGAGAGACGGATAAAGGATGGATTGAGAGAAGAGGGGTGGACTGAGGCAGGGAGAGACATCGAAAAACACACCCAAAGTAAAAAAAACAGAAGACAACATGTTTTGTCAAGTAGACTCTCATTTCCAATCCAAGCTGTGAAATGTCACAAAGCCAAATCAAAACAACCAACTTTTATTTTTCCATAATTATCGACATCACTCAGACTCAGATTTAAAGTTCCTCTCTCTGTTGTGACAGAGTGGAAAGTGGTATTAATTAAAGCTTTGTCTCACTGCCAGTCAAAATGTGATTTGCAGTAACAGTGGTTGCGTTACTGTACTTGGCATCTTATGAAGAGTTGTTCAAAGACAGGGAGGAGAAAAATAGCGGATGAGAGAAGCGTCGGAAAGGGGGGCAGGGAAGGGAAGGGATGAGAAGGAAGAATGGAGACAGGTCCCAGTGGGGTGTTAAGGCAATGTAATGAAGCTGGTAATTGAGGAGAGGGCAGAGCAGAGAGAGACTGATCCATACATTTGATTAATCAGCTCTTAGCTGTCACCACAAGGCTATTGATCTAAGGCAAGGCCATCACACAGTCAGAGACCCAAATCCACACAGACACAAACACATCTGCATGCATGCACACACACACACACACANTGTGTGTGTGTGTGTGTGTGTGTGTGTGTGTGTGTGTGTCAAATATACTATAAATACTCCCTTAATATTTGTTTCCTCATACAAACAAAACACACACAAACCCTTTCCTCTTCAACCCCCCTCTGTAGTGCACTAAAAACTATTTTTATCCCTTCTTCACTATTTCTCCCTCTTCCTCTCTACTATCCTCGATTCCCCTCTTTCCACTCTGAGCTCCATAATCCTTCCATACCCTGACATGGGCATCTCTCTTTTTTTAAAAATCTTTTTCCATCCCTTGTCTTTATTTCCTATGCTCTCTATTTCATTCACTTCTTTCTCGCATGTCACTCTCTCGCTCTCTCAATTTTTCTCCATCATTGCTGTAAAAGGCCTCGCAGGCCTACAAACTCATTATCATCAGTGTCGTGACGCCATATGTTGATTTGAGAAAACCAAAATTGAGCTAAATAGCAGCAGTGTTAACCCCATATGCTCTATCTTTAAGACCGTTCTATACAAAACATTATTTTTAATGCTTTTAAAAGACAAGACATTCAAATCCATTTGGGCATCTCAATATACTTAAAATGCTACTAGGTTGAAAATTAGGTAAAATAAATCACGTTTCTTCTCCATGGGAAATGGTTCTCTGACTAAAACTGTGCAGGTCTTAATAATAGAGCTGAACAATACTTAATATTATATCGTAATATTTCTGATTAAATAGTAACAAACGTCCGACAAAACATACATCTGTAGGAAGGATGAGAGGATTATGTAAAAAATTTAGTTACAATTTCTCTCACACACACACACACACACACACACACACACACACTATAGAAGAAGGGATGATATACATTTTTAACCCCACACCTTTATTGACTTGAGCTGTCAGCTTCAACATAAACTTACAGAAAATACACACACGTGCCACCCCAACAGTTTCCTGTGACCTTGGATTCATCCATCCACCCGTGTCCATCCACACAACCACCCATCCATCCGCCTTTCTGTCCGTCCTTGCATCCATCCACACATCCACCCACCAGCTTGTCCGTCCTTCCTTGCATCCTTTCATCCATTCATCCACACATCCACCCACCCGCCTGTCTGTCTGTCCGTTCATCCACCCATCCATTCATCCATCATATCCTAGTGCTGGTGTTACTGCTGTCCATCCACCCTGCCATCCATCTTTTCCTATCAACTCATCGATCAGTCCTGTCTTGTTCATTGATTTTGGGCTGTGTTGTACAGCAGGCTGATTGTAGCAAGATTTGTGTCCACTAACCCTTTCTCTGTCCTTCCATCCATCCATCACCTTTTCCATTTCTTCCTTCATTAGGCCTATTCAAGCTCATCCTTGTGAGTGTAGAACGGACTGAATTTAAAGACCTTATGATTACAAACTATGGCTTATCAATCAAGGCTTATCATTCTGTGACTGAGTGAGTGTGCGCATGTGTTTGACCTTTTGATATTTCAGAGTATTGACAGAATATAAATTTACTATGGTACATAAAGGAAGATGGGAGTAACGAGAGGAGATAAAGAAAAGCAGCTGGTGAGATGTGCACACTGCAAAGATAACACAATGGCATCGGAAAATTGGCATGGCAACCAGCTAGTTGTCATGGCAATCGTATGACGGCACAGTGGGTAGGTAAACAAGGATACTGGTTGCCAAGGGCGACTGCTGTGCTCTTCGGATAAACAAAGAATTTGTGCTGCAGAGTGATTTGCTGGCTTCATACAGTTTTTTTCCCTCACTGCGTGAGTTGTAAAGATACGGGACAAATAAGCATCGAATATCAGTAAAAATGTATGAGAACAAGGGAACTAAACAGGACAGGAAATGTATGAGCATAATGAAGAGACGTAGGGAGTATCCAGAGGAGGAAGTGAGTGTGAGATGGCTCCGAGCAAGAGAAGGCAAAAGAGAAGGTGAAGGAACTGAATCTATATTATAGCAGAGTAATTAAAATTCCCTTGAGCCCAAGAGAAAAATGCAAATAAAGTACAGTCCCTGCTAGTCAGTTACACTGCACTCCCCTCTGTCTTTCTCTCTCCAACACACATGGACAGCCACACGCTCCTTTCAAGTCAAATTATTCTCTAATTACTCACGTTCCAATTGAGACTTAATTAACAGTAACCATCTGCAAACGTGTGCACGTACAAAGAGCTGGCTGACTACAGTAGCACGGTTTCGTCCATCCTGCTGCATACTAAGAAGCCCTCGCTGGGAAACAGAGTTTCTGCATCTCTGAGGAAAGTGGATTCGTATGTGAGCAGCAGCGCGGCGATGCATGAGGGTGAGATGTATGATATATGATCGTGTGTGAGCTTGCGTGACCACTTGCACTCAGTGGATGCACGTCCACATACACGCATGGCCAAACCCTGCATGCAAACACAGCTCCATTTGCATGCTGTGGTGCTAAAATAAATACAAACACAGTACATGTCACCCACATGTGCACATTCACATGCACATGCAGCATACACTATACTTTTCCCCACTCCCGAGGTGCCCACCCCTATGTGCACAAGAAACAAACACACACTACACACATACAGTTAATCTTACTCCCTGCAGTAATACAGAGAGGATTGTGCCAGGATTAAGGGATATTAAATCCTTGGATTATCCAATCAAATCGTATTCTACCCCCTCCCCCACCTACGCAAAATCGGTGGAACAAACCATTGCACCAGATCATGGGGTAAGGGGTGCTGTGTGTATTTAGACGTGTGTGTACGTGCAGTATTTGGAACATGGATTAAATTACAGCATTAAATCACCGTTATCTTTCTGGTCTCATTTGCCAAAAAAACACTGAAACGTTCCTGCAAACAGAAATCTAAAATTGATTATAGTTAACACCATGACAACAAACAATGTGTGTGTGTGTGTGTGTGTGTGTGTGTGTGTGTGTGTGTGTGTGTGTGTGTGTGTGTGTGTGTGTGTGT